ATATTTATAACAACATAACATGCAGATTGAAGTCCACTTTCTTGCAATGAGTCACATTTAATAGGCACTGAGCCTAACCGAAAAATGTCTAATAATAGTTTTCTAAAACCTCAAATGAAATTGAGACCTCTTTCTCAGCAGTTGCAAGTGCCACCTCTTGTCCAACGAAAAATTTAAATACAAAGTATATCAAGCTACAAGGGCACTTTAACTGTACCTGGCCTAGCCCGACATTTTGGTGCCCAACGAGGGACTTAAGGAGGCTTATCGCCAATAAAAGGAATTAAAATATTATTGAACAGAAAATAAAAAAGTCTACCTTCGCCACACATAAAATTTATTTTGAAACATACACCAGGTTATGGGTCTTAAATCTTAAATACTTATCCTTATTACCACACCTTGGACGGGTGAAATATATCATAATGCGGAGGAGAAGAAAACTCCAAACCTCTTGTAATTCTTGCCCAGTCGTTCGCTCTATGACTTATAAAATTCGTATCACTCAGTTCATTACTCATTTCCGCAGTAGAAGTTTTTATTTTATTTTCATACTTTCTGTCATCCTTTGAGACATAACTATCGTCTAGAAGAAAGGTGCTGTTAAAATAACAAATCATTTTATTGGTTGATTGTGTTGCTAAAGATAAATTTGCCGTTGACGTAATTCGGGCGCCACCGGTGTAAAAGTAACTTGTTTTTCATTCAATGACGAGGTGTCATTTGATCTAAATATTCTTTGGTCTGCCTCTAGTTCATGGCTTGGTTTCGCAGTTGTGTGATGCAATTTTGATTTTAACTTTTTGTGATGATGATGATAATAGTGATGGTGATGAGGTTTCATCTTTCCATGATGTAGTTTCATATTTGATGTTGTCATAAATATCTTATCAGATTTTAGTCTAACATGCGACGTTTGGTCCGACGACATAGTTTTCTTCACTTCTGTCATATTTGTCTTTAATACCTTTCTATATATTCTGGTTGCGTTACATTTATCGCATTTCTTACTAACAAGATCGCTCACGTTATCTGAAATGTTAAATCCTTTCTTCAAACTTCTTTTTCTAGCTTCATCAGGTTTTTCATCTCTTCCATTACTACCTCTTGTTAAGCATTGAACAGTGTGGTTTTTGTCGGTTGTTGGACAATCCTTCAGAGAGTTGGCTTGCTTCAATTCATGTATCTCTTTTTCTACATAATTTAGTCTTTTGATGATTTTGTGATTAAATGTTCCTATATAATCCGTGTTTTCTCTTAAAGATCTTCTAGAATTCCTCCGTTTATTATTACGCATTGCATCTTTAAGATTATCGATTAACTTTTTAATGTTGTCGCCTGGGTCCTTGTTATCAAATTCTAAAACAGCTTCTAAAGCCAAATTAACATTTCTGTTTGAATTCTTTGGTTGCTGTTGTAGTGAGTTTGTACATGCTGAAACATGGGATTTGTTATATATATTTTAAGTATTATGCATGCCTTTTGAATATTGAATGGGTTTAGGTATATTTTAACAAATTAAGCACCAGTGAGGATATATGACAACGATGCTAGCGAAGGATTTGCCTCTGTCTGTGCCAGTCTGTCAATGATTTAATAGAATTCTGTAACGATTCTGTATGACGGTATAATTTATTACACGACGGTGTCTTTGTGATGAAAAGTGAGATATCTTAATGTTAGTCGATGGATCAACGACATTACTATCAGATTTGAATAAAAAAATCTTCAAATACCTTCTAAATAATATCGGAATACAAATATTGCTCAGTATTCCGGAAGCACTAGTAATAGGAAACTCATTGGAAAATACAATAAAAGTAAAATACATAAATACCTAATACGAAGAACAGCAGAACACAAGCGCACACCTTCATTTTAACATAAAAATACTAACATTTTACTGTATCGTAAAACTTGTTATAAATTGCTTGAGCAACTATTTTTATATTTTGTAATCAAATAAAATTATTACAACTATTTTATTGACAATAAACATTGGAAATGTTACCGATTTCAAACTCGATCTCAACAGTTTCTAGTTTTTCTTATGTTCGAAGTTTTCTTTTGAAAACCTCGTGTTTCATTCATTATGGAAATGAAAACAGTTATTAACGACGTTATCAAACGCAAATAAATTAAGAGAGAGAAGTTAATACACAAACTGTAAATAGCTTATTAAACTGTGATGCTAGCAAAACAGATACTGTTATTTCTCGATTTTAAACTTAAGCTGCTAGAAAACTCGGCGTTCTTGCAAAAGTCCGACGGTATTTCACACCGAGTCAGCTTCTAATGTAGTATAAAGCTCAGGTCCGATCGTGTGTGGAGTACTGCAGCCACATATGGGCTGGTGCTGCAAAATGCCACCTAGCGGCTTTGGATTCAGTGTAAAGGCGTGGAAAGAGGCTGATTGGAGATCCAGATTTGGTTGGGTCCAATCTACAAAGTCTCGAGCACAGGCGCAGAGTAGCCAGCCTTGCGGTTTTTTACAGGATGCATTTTGGAGAGTGTGCACAGGAATTGCACGATTTGATTCCGCCATCCCAATTTCACTTTCGGACATCCCGGCGTACGGCGAATATCCACCCCTACGTTGTTGAGACACCTGCAGCCCGGACTAAGCGTTTTGCCTCGTTAATTATATCGCGTGCATCGAGGGATTGGAACAGTTTGCCGGCTGCAGTCTTTCCGTCCGAATACAATTTAGGTGTCCTCAAGGCTAGAGTGAATAGGCTCTTAATAAACTAGTGCGCCTTACCATCAACGATTGCATCACTGCTTACCATCAGGAGGGATCGCAGTCAAGCACTAGTTTATTGCAAGAAAAAAAAAACACCTTACTCAAGCCTTAAGCCAGCTTCGGTCGGCTTCGGTCGGCTTGTTGATGGTAAATTTCGAACAAAATTAAACCAATCAGCCGTCACAGGCACAAACTGTAGCAAGCGTACTAGAGGGATGAAATCATGAAATGACTGCTCCCACAAGAGGAAGTGTCAGACTCTTATTGGCTAACCTTTCCGTGCCTTCGTGATTTGATTATATAGTTCTCTCTCTCGCTCCGCTTCCTTCTTTACGATCACGACTGATTCGCAGAAGGCGAAGTCGGTTTCCCAGTTTCTTATACTAGATTCACATGGCCTTTACTATTATAACTCAAATTTTTCGATAGCATTATGATAGCAAAAGTTTGAACCTTCGTGGTTTTTGGTTGCTAATCCTGTATGATAATCTTGTATCTACCTACTGTTAATATGATAAACAAATGAAATATAATAAATAAATTTAAAAAAGTAGGGCATGATTCGAGGGGATGCGGCGGTGCTCAGCCCAAGTACGACACACTGCTATCGTAAGTCTCCATCAAGTCGTCCGGGTGGTTCTCACAGTTGCGATAGTCAACGATTCTTGCCAAACCCGATGGATCCGAAACTTCCATACCGCGCATGCGTTTTCTGACGCCCAGATTGTTCAGCAAGCAACTGGATCAGGTGGAAGGTTTTTTTTGTGAGTTTTCTATTTATGGGAGGGAGTGTCAGACTCTTACTGACTAAAAACCTCCTTGTTCCTTCTCCAGTTCAGGGCGAGGTCGCGGTGCCTCATTGCGCTTACCCCGCAACCACGGCTGAACATCAGCCCTATAGGTTCCCGTCTGTGGTGGTCTATTGGCTCTTTGAGGCACGCGTGTAACGCTACGCGCTGCCGTACGCTCGGGCCTGGTTCTGGTCGGGCGGCAAGCTGCCCTTATTAGCCGACCGCAGACCCGCGCTTACGGTGGCCGGAGATCGTCCCTTGATCCCCGACGTCCGTAGTCTCGCCTGTTGCGGCGGCTGGGGATTGCTCCCTCACGCGGGCCGCCTCCCTCTTTGCTAGCAATCAGGTGGAAAGTAAGAAACAAAAGAAAAAAATGTGTATCAAAGAAATAACGACAAAAAGCGACGACAGCGCCACTCTAAGAAAACTTGTACCAGCTTGTATGAAAAATAAACCTAGTAGGTACAACGAATAAGCAGTGATGCTTGCAAATGAGGAAGCGGAGCGCGTGGGGGTATTATCATAATTATATAGTAGAGATGATCTTCGGCCAACGTTGAGTAAGAGTAGCTTGCCACCCGATCAGAACCAGACCCGGAATGTCGCGTTCTGTGCGTGCACAAAGAGAAAATAGACCACCACACGTGGCCCTACAGTGCGAATTTTCGGGTCGGCCGATGTCGGACTTGCGGGACAAGCAATAAGGTACCGCGCCCTCGGTCTAGACCAGGGGAAGGAACGGAGAGGTTTTTAGTAAGTAAGAGTCTGACACTCTCTCTCAGCTCACCTTGTACGAAAAATAAGCTTCAACCAGCTAGGACATATATTATATCGTTTGTATTCAATGGATGTAACTGACTGTGAATATTATTATAATTTCTCAAGGAGGTAGTAGTAGTCTTTGAAATTTGGCTATGAACATTTTTATACTTAACATAGGTTACTTTACTCTATCAAAAATAGTCAAAGAATTATTGTAACCATAAACATTGCGATTAAGAAATCAATATTAATTATATTGTACATAACACAATCTATAATTTACTATTATTGTTTTGAGTATGTATGGGTAGTTGTCAGTTATGTTTTGTAATTTATAGCAACAAATATTTTCATATAAAATCCCAAAAGACACGCAGCGCCATCTACACTAAAGTTCTAGAACCCAAAAACTACTAACATTACTTCATGTGAGATCGGTTTGTAAACCAACAAGTAATTGTCTGAATGTCATGAAATATATAAAAATAATAGTAAGACACAAATAGAGACGAGAAGTGTCATTTAATTATTATTATAAGCCAATAATTGAAAATAAACATTATAATAAAACCTACTGAATTGGTAAGAAACGAAACATAGTTTTGGTATGAATATCTTGTTAAAAGCTAGCAACCCTCAGTTGGTATTTTTTTGACACGCCTTGAGATACCTTTCCAATTTTATTTACGAAAAATCATTTATCGTTGCATGTTATTTGTGAAAATATTGTGAAATATTGTTCCTATCGAACCAATAAACAATCGTGTTAGTGTTCTGTTTGAATAAAGCCGCATAAACGTTGCTAAACATCAGGTAAAAGTAGTTATACTATGTTGTCAATATAATAACCAACCAAATTCAATATCCCATTCATTATTTACCGTTGATCAATTAACAATACTCCTAAATTCTTCCGTGTTATCAATTTGTATTTGTAATTATAACTTTAATACCCTAAATACCGAATTAGACAAAGAAAAAACGAAAGTAATATATCTAAATTATGTCGATTTCGAAGTTTTGAGTCATAATCTGAGGAAAAGGTTTCGTAAAGATGATAAATGCATCGCTTAACAGTGACTCATTTAGTGTTATACTTTAACATTATAAGTACCGAAGTGCTTACAATCAAGTACTTGTATAACGTATTTGTAGATCGTTTCTCGGTATTTTACTACGAGTTTGAGATTGGACACGCATTCATATATTTCCGATAGCATTATCAAATATTTTGTTTATACTTTTGAGAAAAGAGGTGATAGTGCCAAGTTGTTTGTCTATGGGCATTGTTGCATGTTATTGTTTATATTTTTTTTTTACATTGATTTTAATAATGTACTTTTTTATGATGCTTAAAATTAATTTTCAGTGGAGAAAAAATAGGATAGATTTTTAATTAATCTCATTAAAATAGCTATCCAGGTGGCATCTGCAATGTTATCTGGATCCTGTAAATAGAACTAGACTAGACTTAGCAACATTACATCACTCACAAAAAGGTTTGACCACATCTCTTAGTATTGAATTTTTTTTAAGAAGGTAATGTTCTCATAATAACACATTGTATGTCCCTATACAAGCACATACCTGCCCTCTACAAACTCTTAACTATGTTAGATACAAGTCATACTGCAGTGAGACTTAGTTTCAGTTCTTTGTTCTAAAAAAAGAACTAATCCTTTACAGTTAAAAGTTTCACCTGACATTGATATTTAACAATTAAATATACTACAATTACAACCTTCTTTTTGATTAATAAAAAAATTCTGTTTTAAGACAGTCTATTCAAACAGAGCTCAGTATTTTTGGCTTTCTTTGGAATTTGTAAACTACATCATATTAGCAACAACAGTTTCACTATCTCACAGAGGCTTTTGCTTATGGCTTCCACATCAGTCAATTGGTAGCGAACTGCATCCAGCTGATTTTGACCCGCCCCAGCTTCGTGCAGATGCAATGGTGATACTGAATCTCTGAGACTGTCTCCACTATTTAACGGATGTCATCTATGCTAATATTATAAAGCTGAAGAGTTTGTTTGTTTGTTTGAACGCAGTAATCTCAGGAACTACTGTTTCGAACTGAAAAAATCTTTTTTTGTTTAATTTACCATTTATAGGAAGGCTTTAGGCTATAAAAAATATCACGCTACGAACTTTAGAAGCCGAACATAAAAACCTACATTATTATAAACCTTACTCTTTAATCTCTCTCTGTATAAAAAAAACGACATCAAAATCAGTTGCATAGTATTAAAGATTTAAGCATACATAGGGATATAGGGACTGAGAAATCAACTTTGTTTTTAACTGACTTCCAAAAAAAGGAGGAGGTTCTCAATTCAACCGTATATATGCTTTTTTATGTTTGTTCGCCGCGTTAAGTATATGTTTTGAAAAATATTGATATCACACAAAGCCATTGTTTCTTTTTTAAACAAATGAATGTGAATAGTAGGTAGCTAAGTGATTGGTCAGTTACTTTTCATTTGTGTTTCTCTGTCTAGTACATACTTAGTGTCGTCTCTTTTTATCTTCAAATGGTAGACAGGGATGCTTATATACAAAGTAACATACATATTCTACCAATTATATTAATGCCACAGACAACATTCGGCCCATTCGTGCCGAAGCTTGGCTCTTCCACACTTAATCGTGACGAAACCTGGACTTATAATTTCTTCTGTGTCAGCAGCACTAGCTATACTGGTTGCAAACTGACACTTGCGTACCACTTAAACTGGTGTGGTTGTGGCTTTCATCAAAAGACCACTACAGAATGACCTTGCACGGTTCTCCCACATCATGTTATTTTAACATTGTCTGGACTTGAAAAGAGACTGACCTCTGAGTTTGTTTTTCGGCATTTCTTCTCAGAGTAGTCAGGAAATGCCGGCTTCGTCTAGTTTTTCACATACAAATTGACGTGTAAAAGTGCCGTTTTATGGCCTATTTGCAAAAATTAATTCATTGTTTCTGAAACCGCTAATCCAACTTGAGCAAGCATGGTGATAAATGGTCAAACCTTCTATGTGTGAGAAGAGGCCTTTGCTCAGCAATAGGCACTTGAAGGCTGGTGATAATGTGTATGGTTTTTGTTTTACATTTTATTTATTTATGTAATTCTCTCCGTTCCAGCAACAATGGCAACTATGACTGATCAGTACGGCACGACGGGGACGCTCACCCTCAAGTGGGACCCTCGGAATCTGGAGATACGGACCATGTCAGTGGAGCGGACGCTTGAACCGCTCGTGTTACAAGTCACTACGCTGGTCAACAGCAAGGATCGGGATGCCAAGAAGAAGAGACGTGAGTTTTTACAGATTTTTTAAGGGATTGTTTGGGACATGCCAGCCACAGCCTCCGAAAATTTCGCGGGGCAAGCGCTATATGGCACCGTGCCCTCGGCCTAGAGCAGGAAAAGGAACGGGGGTTTTTTGCCAGTCAGAGTCTGCTGACACTCCCTTCCGCCCTACCCTTGGCGGGAGGAGTCGGTTGATGATTTTCCCATCACAAAAATGCCTCCCAATACTAATGCAACTCCTGCATCAGGATCTACAGTAGATACAACCATGAAAACACCGAAACACTAAAGTTCGGTGCGTACCAGGGACATGAATGTCTGTCTCGGATTCCGCAACGAAATTAATCAGAACATATTATTTGAGGAGAATAAAAAACGATATAGTTTCGACTTCCTTGAGGAAAATTAATGCAAGAGACCTAATGACTGAATTTTATTTTGGGGTACTTCGTCCAATGAATTGTGGTGCTCAGATGGCCTACTGGGCAGAACTAGAGGTATTGTCAGACTCTTACTGACCACCCATCATTCCTTCTGCTCGGACACGATTTTTATGGGATTGGGCAAAAGGGCTGACGGATCACCTGATGGTAAGCAATCAGCGCCGCCCGTAGACACCCAACATCAGAGGAGTTACAAGGGCGTTACTTGCATTTTGGGGTTATGGATTTGAGGATTAGGGGAATCGAGAATTAGGCATGGGAAATAGAAATGATTAGGCCTTCCGTACCCTCACTCCTGCACGTCGATTCTATAAAATTTGTTTGATTTTGAATCTTGTTCGAGTCCGAAGTGAGCGTCGAAGTGACGGGGAAATTAAATTTTAGAATGCCACTTTTAACGTCATCTCATACTTTATCTATCAAAATGTTGCTGTCAATTTAGTTCAACTCGCAAGTGTAGCGCTAGTGTACTACTACTCACAGCGGATTCAGATTCGAAGTTTAGAATGAAGTCTTACAGAATCACACTACTGTTCTCCTCTTTTGGTAACCTGTTATTGGCCGGCAAACTAGTAAATGGATGACCTGATGGTAAGCAATGGGCGTCGCCCATGGACACTTGTAGTACCAAAGGAGTTAAAAGTGCGTTGCCGGCCTCTTGTGGGTTGTTAGGGATTTAAGGATGGGGGATTTGAGGATTGAGAATGTGAGAGAGTGACGATGGGAGAAAGGACTGACTCCTGTAGGAAAATACTTAGTATGCGTTTTTTCATGCTGGTTTTCAAGACGGTTGTGGTATAACTCAGGTCGATTTCTGCCGAAGCATATCTTCCATACTTAGAAATTATCATTTTTCTCCCCACTAATTTTATTATTTTTCTTCTCATAGCTGGCAAGTCCAAGCGAGCCAGCGCCCTAGTGGCGACTGTTGAACGAGCGACGGAGATTTTCATCGAACGGGGCCAGACCATCGCCTACGAAAACCCTGAGATCACACAGCAGATGTTGACGGCCGTCGAAGAAGTGCGGAAGGCTGGTAAGATTTGAATGTTTATTTTTTTATTTATTTATACTTAAAGGCACTTTTTTATCGGATACTTTTCGGGGTATATTCAGAGAATTGGCAAACATCGTCGCTTTATGGTGGATATCCTTCAGCCGGGGTTGCGAGGTAAACGCAATGAAGAACCGCGACCTCGGCCCAGAGCAGGAGAAGGAACAGGGGGGTTTTTAGTCAGTAAGTGTCTGACACTACCTCCCGCCCGGCCCTGGGCGGGAGAAGTCATTTGATGATTCTCCCCTCACAAAAAAAATAATGTTGGATATCCCATCTACACGCACGATCGCCCCCTGTTTCATTATCAGAACCGCTAAGACTGGAATTCTTTGCCGGAGTCTGTGTGCCCCGAAGGGTATAACCTGGGTGTCTTCAAGGCCCGAGTGAATAGCTTGCTTATGGGTAGGCGTGCTCCATCGTAGGTCACATCATCGCTTACCACCAGGCGAGATAGAGACCAAATGTTAAGGCCATAAATAAAAGATGGTATACTAGTGGACTGTATTACTGGTATTTTACAAGGATAGTGCACCCCGACAATAGTTTGCGAGTTTACGTGTATTCCAGTCCAGTGCTCGGTGAAAAGTGGCGCGCGCAGCTCCGCCGGCCGGCGCGGGCCGTGGTCTCTTCTGATTGGTCCGTGGCGCGGGCGGCGGAAATGTGAAGGCGGCGAGGCGCGGGACGCACAACGCGCTGTGTGTCATAGACACCAAATGTCTGCCAATAACGAAATAAAAAAATGTATGTAATAACAGAAAATTACACCGTCTCTAACAATTTACAGGAGCAGCAATGAGTCTCGCCGCTCGAGAGTTTTCGGAGGAGCCCTGTGCTTCCCAAGTACGAGGCGGGATGGTTCGGGCGGCGCGCGCCTTGCTCTGTGCCGTAACCCGCTTACTTATATTGGCGGATATGGTTGATGTACATCTTCTTTTGAATAAGCTTAATACTGTGAGTATTGATTGAGATTTTTTCTTGTGATTTCGTAACCTAAGCAATAGGAATACGGTTGTTTCCAACTAGTCAAATTCAATATTTCTTTTATCCAAACGTCAAAAACGATACGTTTCTATGAAATTTGTATGAACAACTGAGGTATGACGTCGTAACATTTTTGCGTCAAATAGCTAAAGTACTTATCTCTTAATAATTTTCGAAAAAAAAATCCGAAACTTAGTGTATCGATCGATCGATGAATAAAAGTATAGTTGTAGTTATTTTTCAAAATTTTATTGTATTGAAACGTCGAATTAATTTATTTTTGATCTAGGTAGCTGCCCAATTGTTTTTGTTATGTGATAGGATGGTGTATGACTGGACGGATTACCTGATGGTCAGTATTCGGCGTTGCTCATGGAAACCCGCTACGTAGGCGGTGGCGACCTTTTAGGGATTAAGGTGTGGGAGATTTAGGGATTGGGGAGGGGAAAGATTGGGCCTCCTGTAACTTCACTCACACGGCGAAACAACGCTGTGGGTGTGTCACGCCGGTTTTCTGTGAGGCCGTAGTATCACTCCGGTCGAGCCGACCCATTCGTGCCGAAGCTTGGCTCTCCCACATTTCTTCTTTCGTTGTCTTAGAATTGTAAATCCAAATATGGAATTGGTTGGCAAACGAGCAGACGGGTCACCTGATGGTAAGCAATCAGCGCCGCTTATAGAGACTAGAAGAGTTTGTAAGTTGTTGTAATTTCTGGTGCAGGAATATTGAGCCTACCATAACATTACAACTTGTCAAAGCCACCTCACCATTTATGAGTGAGCTTACTGCAGACCCCCTCCTCAATCTCTAAATCTTCGAAACCCTAATCCCCAAAAAGCCAGCAATGCACTCGCAACTCCTTCGGTGTTGCGGATGTCCATGGGCGGCGCCGATTGCTTACCATCAGGTAATCCGCCTGATCGTTTGCCGACCTATTCCACAAAAAAACCACCCGTCCTGTTAGGTATCTGATACCAGCTGAAAGAGATACGATGGTAAAATTAGTCTAGCCACTAACATATATTTATTAAAATTACTCTAAAATTACATTTTCAAATATTACTATAAAATAATATTTAAAAATATAAAAGTAGAAGCCAGCCGGCAGCGGGAGTAAGGTCCAAGCTACTGGCAGTTAGGGCTCCAGAGACAGTAACACCAGCTATATTATTATTATTCTAGCCACTATATTATTATTATTTTTCGACAGGTGGAAAATGACCTAGACAAGCTGAAATCGGCTTCCTCCCAATCGGAACTGTTGGAATCGGCTCGCCAGTTCGGCCGGTCAGCGTCGGAGCTCGCGGCTCAAGCTGCAAAGAGACAGCGCGAGCTAAAGGAGCCACGCATGAAGGACGAGCTCGCCGCCGCCAGAGCTGTTCTGAAGAAGCACTCCACCATGCTCCTGACTGCTTCCAAGGTTTGCATGAACATATAAATTAACTATCTTTTGCCCGCGACTCCGTACGCGTGGAATAGTGAGTTCCTGCAGATTTTTGGTATGAAAACTATCCTATGTCCTTTTTCGAGTTCCAAACTATCATCATCATCATCAGTCTATAAGTGCCCACTGCTGAGCAAAGGCCTCTTCTCACACGGAGAACGTTAGAGCATTAACCACCACGCTTGCTCAATGCGGGTTGGCGATTTCAAACTTATAATTAGAAATTATAAGTCCAGGTTTCCTCACGATGTTTACCTTCACCGTATGTCAGTGGTGTCTATATAATCATAGAAAGTACATATAACTTGGAAAATCACATTGGTACTTGCCAGGTTTCGTGTACATATTACATGTGCGTGTGTGAGATAGAGAGAGAGTCTCTACAATGACAGATAGTACTCCTAAACCATTCTAAAACAATGTTTCTCAAAACAACCCGATCATAAGAATGTGCAGTGAATATAACTCCATATGCTTTTAAACTTATATAATATGTCACAAAAGTTTTAATGTCTATAAGGAATTTCTGTGTCGGCACAATTGAAAAACGTAATTTGTATGAGTAACTCTATGTAATGCAGCAAATTGTATTTTTTTTTAAGAATGTTGTGTACATTTATAACTGGACTGCAGATTTATAATTTGTGTGTAGTGTAGTATTCAACTTTGTATTTTTTGGTTTACTGTCTGTTACTGTACCTTTTGAATAAAAAAGAAATTAAAAAATAACATATCTATTAATATAATATCATTGGTTTGAATAAATAAAACTAACTAACTATTATTTCTCCCCCCTGTAGGTATACGTCCGTCACCCGGAGCTGGCCGCGGCGAAGGCCAACCGCGACTACGTGCTTCGCGCCGTCTGCAGCGCCGTCGACTCTATCTCCGCCGTCGCCAAGGGACAGCCCATACCCGTCGTCGGTACGTACTCTTCTAAACATAGTAAAAAACGAAGTCGCTTTCTCTGTCCCTATATCCCTATGTACGCTTTAATCTTTCAAACTACGCAACTGTTTTTTTAGTTATGAAAATTGTGATGCTAAAAGATTTTTTTTTAATGATTTTGATTGATCTGATTAACGATCAGACTGGTTATCACACGGCGAAACAATACTGTGGTACACCGTACAACATACTTAGTATAAAACAAAGCCGCTTTCCCTATATCCCTATGTATGCTTAAATGTTTCAAACTACGCAACGTTTATGTACCGTTTCGCGTCAAGTCTACTCCCCCCCCTCTCTCTCTCTCACTCTCTATCTATCTCTTTACCTCTTTCTACTCTCTCTCTCCCCCCTCTCTCCCTCTACATCTCCCCCCAACTCTCTACTCCATCTCCCACTCTCTCCCTCTATATCTCGCACTACTCTCTCCCCCTCTCTCTCCCCCCTCTCACTCTCTCTCCCCTCTCTCTCTCTCCCTCTCTCTCACTCTCTCTCTCCCCTCTCTCTTTCTCCCCCCCCTCTCTCCCCTCTCTCTCTCTCTCCCACTCACTCATTCTCTCCTCTCTTTTCTCTCTCGGCTATCAATCCCTCGCCCAGCTATAGGCTGATGATAATGATGATTATTGTTAACCAAAGTATTTTGTTGCAGGTGGAAATCGTCCCGTAGAAGGTCCAGGAGAACTAGCTCAAGCACTCGATGATTTTGATGTAAGTCATGACAAATGTAAAGGTCATATATTTTGCAGAGAACATATGTATCTATATATATAAAAATGGATCGCAAAAAATGTTGGTAAGCGCATAACTCAACAACGCCTGGACCAATTTTGCTGATTCTTTTTTTTTGTTATTGTCAGGAGAAGGTTCTTATCAACGAAAATATTAGAAAAATAGAGTGAAGGGTTTAAGGAATTAAGGAAAAAGTGACCCTTTGTTAGTAAGATAGTTGGACCCGTTTGAAGCAGGGGCGGGCCGCTAGTCATATATAGATATGCATTACGAATGTTATGGATATGAAATTTCGGATACGAATATGAAAATTCAAACATAACGTGTCTCAATTTGGCTCCGCCCCTATCCGATCTCATCCGAAAGTTTTTTTTGGATTCGATTACGGTTACAGAGGTCCCTTACATCCCTGTTATGCGTTAAGTAAGATTTAATTGCATGTAAACCACAGACGGGGCCCTATAGGGCTGATGTTCAGCCGGGGTTGCGGGGTAAGCGCAATGAGGCACCGCTATTCTCTTCATAAAATAAGTGTCTGGACTGGTCTCAACTGCCTAAGGAGCTAAGGCTTTCAAAATTATATTTGTACCTCATTTTGAATGCAATAAAACATTTTTTTTTTTTTTTTTTTTTTGTTAAATGCATTATTAATTTTCTCTCTCCTCTTCCACAGGAGCGTATGGTGATGGAGCCCCTGGCGTACTCGGAGCTCCGCACTCGTCCGTCGCTGGAGGAGCGACTCGAGTCCATCATTTCCGGGGCCGCGCTCATGGCGGATAGCTCTTGTACCAGGTAATGTGGATCTTTAAGGAATCTACTTTCGATCTTTTCTGTGTGGGAGAGCCATGCTTCGGCACGAATGGGTCGGCTTGACCGGAGTGATATCACGGTCTCACACAAAACCGGCGTGAAACAAACACAGCGTTGTGTTTCGCCGTGTGGTTGAGTTAACTGGAGGCCTATAAATCCCCGTTGCGGGTGTCCATGGGCGACGCCGATCGCTTACTATCAGGTGATCCGTTTGCTAATTTGCCACTGTATAAAATAAAAAATCTTGTGCGGTTGGCGCAGTGGCTGGTCAACCTGGTGTCGCGAGTTTGATTCCCGCTCGGAACAACACTTTTTATGATCCATAAATTGTTGTTTCTGGTATGTGTATGTAAAATTGTATATTTGCAAACGCACACACGAGATAGAAGAAAACACTAATGTGGTAAATAAAAATAAAATGGTTTTAATTTAAATCAGCCGGTGTCTGACCCCCTATTGCCACATCCAGGGCAGGAGAGGTCATTCGATGATTCCTCCCCCCTCCAAGAAAACGTCAAAAAAGTCAAAATCATTTATTACAATTAGACCACACTAGGCACTTTTGTACGTCAAGCAAAAAAAAAAGGAAAAAAGTATTTCAAGAGCTTTAACATTAAGCGTGTCAGTCTATCAGTCTGTCCTCTAGTGAAGCTATTTGCTCGTTCCAGAGTGTAGATTCCTATGGAGAAGAACGAGCAAGAAACTCCATGGTTACTCTTTTTCAATCAGTTTTACAATACATTTCTTTATTTATTATGTTTTCGGCTTACTCACGTACGGGCCTCTAGCATGGCTTGAAACTAGTCGAGTATCTCGTCAAATTATTACGTGAGTAAGCCGAAAACATAATAAATACATTTCTTTGTTACATCATTTAGTAGCGTAATTAATAATAATTCTGTTTGTGTTTTCTCCAGGGACGAGCGTCGCGAGCGCATAGTGGCTGAGTGTAACGCAGTGAGACAAGCGTTGCAGGATCTCTTGCACGAATATATGGCTAATGTAAGTTCATTTATATGTTTTTTTATAGAATTGGATAGTTTCCCAGGTCAAAAATAAATTCTATTTTAAAATAAATGGGTCGGTTCGACCGGCTTGATAAGTGATACCACGGCGTCACAGAAAACCGGCGTGAAACAACTACAGCGTTGTGTTTTGCCGTGTGAGTGAGGTTACCGGAGACTTAATGATCCTCTCCCCTAGGGGATTTAGGGATACAATTAAGGGTTTTGGAGACTCCTGCTCCAATCCATAATTCTCCAAATCCCTAACCCTAAAAAGGTCGGCAATGTAATCGTAACTCCTCTGTTGCGGGTGTCCATGAGCGGCGCTGATTGCTTACCATCAGGTAATCGTCAGATAGTTTGCCGACCTATCACTTGAAAAAAAAAAAGAAATGGGACTTAAAGTCTTAAATACAATCTAAATAATTTTACAGTTTTGAAAATAATGATTATTTTTTATTATTCATATAGCTACCTTTTGCCCGCGACTTTGTTCGCGTGGAATAGTGGCTTCCTGCAGATTTTTTGTATAAAAACTATCCTATGTCCTTTCTCGAGTTCCAAACTATGTCTGTACCAAATTTCACACAAATAGCTTCAGTACTTCTAGAAAAGACAGACAGACAGACAAAGTTATTTTCCCATTTATATTAAGTATTAATTAGGATATTATTTTTCATGTTTTTAGAATCATTAGAATGAAGAGCTAGCTTAGATTTTAATATCATTATTTCTCCTCTTAGACTGGTAAACCGGAGCAATCAGCTGGACTAGAGCGCGCCATTGAGAATATGTGCAGGAAGACCAGAGACCTGAGGAGACAGCTTAGGAAGGCTGTCGTCGACCATGTGTCCGATAGGTACGTATGAACCGTCATCATCATCATCATCATCATCAGCCTATAAATTTATTCGGTGGCTGGGCAACTGGCTGCCGCGCAACGTGTCGCGGGTTCGATTCCCGCACCGAACAACTCTGTGTGATCCACAAATTGTTGTTCCGGGTCTGAAGAATTGACAGAGAAATCACGAGTGCGTTGCCAACCTTTTAGGGATTAGGGTTTTGGAGATTTAAGGATTAGGGGAGGGGAAGGATTGGGCCTCCGGTAACCTCACTCACACGGTGAAAAACGCTATGGTTGTTTCACGCCGGTTTTCTGTGAGGCCGTGGTATCACTCCGGTCGAGCCGACTCATTCGTGCTGAATCATGGCTCTCCCACACTTAATGGGATCGGATTCGAATAACTACACTTTAGAATGAGCACCTAGCGTCACTGACGAACAGACTGACAGACTATTAATTCTATTTTGACATTTCAAAAGTACTTATTTATGGTTTAGTTGGAACTAGCTTTTGCCCGCGACTCCGTTTGCGTGAAATAGTGACTTCCTGCAGATTTTTGTTATAAAAACTATCCTATGTCCTTTCTTGAGTTCCAAACTATATCTGTATCAACTGTCATAGAAATCGGTTCAGTAGTTTAGGCGTGAAGAAAAGACACACAGACAGAGTTACTTACGCGTTTATGATATAAGTTTGGATAAATTTATTTTTATTTATTTATTTATTTAGGCTTACCAACTAAGACACATACAGACAATCTTAAAAATAAATAAAACAACAGTTAGTGTATGCTCTTAAATTAAAGGTAGGCTAAACATTATTTTTAGGTTGTTCAAGTAAAAGAGTTAAAAATTAAAAGTAATTAAAAATAAAAGAAATTAAAAATAAAAGAAATTAAGAAATTGGGTAAAACATAAGAAAACTGTAAAAAATAAAAATTATAAAAATTAAAAATTAGGCAAACTCTTAATGTCTCTTTTAAATATACTTATTTTACTTGCAAATGTATCCAAGTCGTGTTTTTTATAAATGTCATTACACCTTCTGAGATTATAAGTGAGAGGTGCGTTGCTGCCATACTTTATATTTCGGGTATTTTTCGTGACGAATGGGGTACAATTTACTAGCCTAGCTGAAGACCTTGGTACTTTTATTTGAATTTGGGACAACAAAGATGGACGGTCTGTTCTACTGTTTAAAATTGTATATAAAAATATGATTTTGACTTTGAATTTGATTCAATGCTTAATAATTTCTTTTTTCCTTAGTTTTCTGGAGACCAACGTGCCTCTCCTGGTTCTGATGGAGGCGGCACGCAATGGGAACGAAAAAGAGGTCGAGGAGTACGCACTAGTTTTCACTGAACACGCCAATAAACTAGTCGAGGTTTGTACCTACATTGTTTTTTATAATAACTATCGTGAGACATACTAAATTAAATAAAAATCGCGGGTTACTCACGTGTATATATTGAGAAAAGCTCTACTAGTTTTTTTTTTATGTAATTGATCGGCAAACGAGCAGACGGATTACCTGATGGTAAGCAATCAGCGCCGCCTATGGACACCCGAAACGGAGGAGTTACGAGTGCGTTGCTGAGCTTTTAGGGATTAGGGATTGAGGAGGGATTGGGGGTAGGGGAAGGATTGGGCCTCCGGTAATCTCACTCACACGGCGAAACACAACGCTGTAGTTGTTTCACGCCGGTTTTCTGTGAGGCCGTGGTATCACTCCGGTCGAGCCGACCCATTCGTGCCGAAGCATGGCTCTCCCACACTTAAAAGTTTCGAACCACAGAGGGGTTCTTCCTCATGAGCAGCGTGTGCGGACGCGACTTTTTAGGTTTTAGTTTAGTACCTATATTGTTTCAAACTGCCTATATTACTTAGACCAGATTTTTCAATGGTCACATAAATGTTATCTGAGGAATAAAATTGTTGCTGTCACTGTCTTATACAAAGGTTGTGACGCGATAGCATCATAATTTATTCTATAGGTAGCTTTTATCTAACTATTGATAAATTGGTTCTTTATTATAAATTATTGATATATATTGATATATATTAAGTATTTACAAGGTTTTCTGTGAGGCCGTGGTATCACCATCATCATCAGCCTATAAGTGCCCACTGCTGAGCAAAGGCCTCTTCTCACACGGATAAGGTTAGAGCATTAATCACCACGCTTGCTAAATACAGGTTGGCGATTTCAAACTTATAATTATAAATTATAAGTCCAGGTTTCCTCACGATGTTTACCTTCACCGTATGTCAGTGGTGTCTAAATAATCCTAGAAAGTACATATAACTCGGAAAAAGTCACATTGGTACTTGCCAGGTTTCGAACCCACACCCTCATGCATGAGAAGCGGGCTCCTCAACCTTCGGGCCACCACGATACTTGTCGAGGCCGAGGCCGTGGTAGCAGTTCGGTAAAATACCTACCCTACCTACCCTACCCTACCCTACCCTACCCTAGCTAGTACCTATACTTCCTACTCTACCCCACTCTACCTACTCTACCTTATTTACCCTATCCTACCCCACCTCTTATTGACTAAAAACCAACCCGGTGTTCCTCCACTTACCCATGTGTCGGAGGGGCGGGTATCGCTGAAGCATTCGTCGCAACCCCCCGACGGGTGTTGTCCCGCCAGATGGTAAGGCGGGCCCCGTCCCCCACTGCGGCCGTCACCCCGACCGCAACACTGCACTATGAGGCGCGCGCGGAACACGGCGCCGCCGCCTCGAGGGCTGCTGCTGGTCAGACGACTAGACGCCCCGAGTCTGTTGTCCACAGGCCGCGCACGAAGGTGGCCGCAGGTCGGACACCCTTTTATTTTTGCGGCACTGGGAAAAATGCTATTACGCATCAATGATGTATAAAACTATAGATACCTTGTCCGCGCTCTAAAATGACAACATGAAATGAAGGCAATTGACAACATCGCGCTTACTAACGCACCAACCTGCCGCGCGACGCGACGTTTGTTTTTAATTTATATCGTGTGTGTAAACCTGTGCGAAACATAAAGAAAGCATGCCGTCGTGTGTGTTCAGACGATGTACAAATTATACTCCAAAAGTTAAAGACAAAAATGTGTCATTTCATGCGTAAGTTCACCAAATAACCAATTTTTATTTTATTTTTTTTTTTGACGCCGGCGCCCGCCATCTTATTGCGGCCGGCGCATGAAGGTATAGTCACGTGCCGTCGGCATAACTGAAGATGTATATTTATCTCCCTCTAGCAAAGGCATTCCACTATACGATGTCATATTTTCTTTCCCTTTCTTTACTCGTAGAAGTAGTTATCTAGTATTTTCGCCATTTTTAAGCGCCGCGATGTTGGTTCATGACGTGTCTATATATAATACGTCATTGTTACGCATACTCTTCCCGTCGGGGGACGAGAGAAAGTTATGTGGGACTCCCCGGTAAAGTCGATCCCGGTATACCCACTGCTTAATACTCCAAGGTGGTAAAATAATTTAAAGCAGTCAAGTAGAATTAATAACGTGTAATCCGAACAATGACAAAAACAGATTGATGAGGTTACAAATATAATAAAATTAACTGACTTAATATGTTCATTTGATTAGTTTTAGTTATAATTCTACAATATTTATTTTTTCTGCTTTTTTGTGTAAACGCTTAATTTTAAGAATGTTGGTTAGCTCGTAATTGGCTAATGTATAAGATCTACTACCTATTATCTAATACATTTAAGAACTTTGTATACATAAGCTGTGAGCCTACCTTTTTTCAATAAATAAATAAACTGCACATATGCCTAACGTGCGGTCGTTCGTATCATTAATCAGTAGTGAGTATAATTGCTTTATAAAAACAATAGGCGCTTCGACACCCACTAAAAAACCTAGTGGCACTCCGGAGTGGAGGGGGTCTGGGAATCCATGTCGTCCAGTCCCCCACCGGGCGACTGCCCACCGGCGGCAGGCCCCTCAATTCTACCCTTAGTGGGCAGGAGCCTTTAAGATGGCCGGAGCATGGGTGATTCGGGTTGTGGGTCGCCCGCTGATCACCCCCTGGAGCAGGTGACGACGGACGTTGTGTACGCCGTCTTCGTCCGCCCCTTCTTCGTTGACGGAGCGGCGCTGCGAGAGGGTCTTCTTCCCGCATGCGCTCCTCCACCTCCTTCTGTGACATGACGTCCTCACAGAAGGAAGCTACCACTGTCCATGCCTCCTCACTCCTCAGCATGGATGTTATTATGCTAGTAAGTGAGAGGTCGTCCCCGACCGCTGCCACCAAGGCGCGGCGGAGTTCATCCCACGATGGAGGTCGGCCACCCTACGACGTCTACCCTACCCCACACTACACAACTCGTCTCGTTTTCTCTTTTAAAGTTTTTATATTTAAGTTTTATTTTATTCAACGTTTCAATACAATAAAATAATGAAAAATAACTGTACTTTTATTCATCGGTTTTTTCATCCATCGATCGATCGATACACTAAATTTTAGATGTTTTGTAGCTAATTATTAAGAAATAAGTAAGCTATTTGACGCAAAAATACTATGACGTTATAACTCAGTTTTTCATAAGAATTTCATAGAAAAGTATCGTTTTTGAAATTAGGATAAAAGTATTGAATTTCACTAGTCGTAGTGACTCGGAGGTTAAGGAGCCCGCTTCTCATGCATGAGGGTGTGGGTTCGAAACCTGGCAAGTACCAATGTGACTTTTTCCAAGTTATATGTACTTTCTATGATTATTTAGACACCACTGACATACGGTGAAAGTAAACATCGTGAGGAAACCTGGACTTATAATATCTAATTTTATAAGTTTGAAATCGCCAACCCGCATTGAGCAAGCGTGGTGATTAATACTCTAAACTTCTCCGTATGAGAAGAGGCCTTTGCTCAGCAGAGGGCACTTATAGGCTGATGATGATGACAGTCCTCGGCTCCTTAAGTCCTCAATGCGCCTCAGTAATAATCACCAACTACTATTATTATATTTTTGTTTATCTTTGTCTGTTTAGGTAGCCAACCTTGTCTGTTCAATGTCCAACAACGAGGATGGCGTGAAGATGGTCCGCCACGCCGCTGAACATATTGAGTCTCTATGCCCACAAGTAAGTACTTCTTCTTCTAAGTCAAACGAGCTGCATCACCTGATGGTAAGCGATCAGAACCGCCCATAGCGACACTAACACCCGGTTTCCTAAAAGCCGATCAATGTTAAAATCAATTTAATCTCTTGTCAAGTCATCTGATTGGTTGACTGAATTATCAACAACCAATCAGATGACTTGACAAGAGATTTAACAGGAGATTAGTTAATTTTAGCGTTGACAAGCCTTTCAGAAACCGGGTGTAAGGCCGCTATCCCACTGGCGTTTTACTAGCGTTGACGCCGCGTCGTCGCGTGCCAAGCATTACCGTCTACTGAACCCGACGTCAACGTCGCGTCTGCGCTGCGTTGACGTCGCATCTGTTGGCAACAGATACAATTACGATGACCTGCTCTATCAAATGTAGTCTTTGGCATAATTTGCGGAAAATTCATCGAAAAAACAATTCGCCGAACGACAATTCGTCGAATGGTTATTCGTCGAAAAATTATTGATCGAATAATAATTCGTCGTTCGAATAATATTCCCGTCTTTTTAAATACAACGTCGGCAAACTTCGTTCACCGAAAGCTATACGAATGCCGCCCTACTATTTCTTACACAAAAATTCTAAATCAAATCAAAATCATTTATTCCAACTAAACCATAAATAGGTACTTTTGAAACGTCAAAATAGAATAGTAGTCTGTCAGTCTGTTCGTCAGTGAAGCTAAGTGCTCTAAATATACAATTCAATTGAATCTCCGTATAATGTTTTTACTTAGGAGACATTTTTTTCTAGCACGTCTCATTCGACGAATTATTATTCGATAAATTGTTTTTTCGGCGAATTGTTTTCGACGAATTGTCATTCGACGTATTGTTTTCGACCAATTGTCATTCGACGAATAATTTTATCGATAAAATGTGTTCAATGGATATTAATTCGATTAATTGTTTTCGATTAATTGTCCGGTGACCACCCACCACCGGTGAGTAGTCCACCAGACATAACACCCGTCTGGTTGTAAGATCCTTCCTTTTCAATGGAGGATGAGGAACTTTCCACCCTGTTCTCTCATACTTCTAAAAATTGTTTGTTTTATGCAATAAGTCGGCAAACGAGCAGACGGATTACCTGATGGAAAGCAATTAGCGCCGCCCATGGACACCCGCAACGGAAGAGTTATGAGTGCGTTGCCGACCTTTTAGGGATTAGGGATTTGGAGATTTAAGGATTGGGCCTCTGGTAACCTCACTTACACGGCGAAACACAACGCTGTGGTTGTTTCACGCCGGTTTTCTGTGAGGCCGTGGTATCACTCCGGTCGAGCCGACCCATTCGTGCCGAAGCTTAGCTCTCCCACACTTAAATAAATAATATCAAAATGTAGTCTAACTAATTAATACTATTTTCTTTAATAGGTAATAAACTCTAGTCGCGTACTAGCGGCGCGGCCCAGGTCTCGTGTTGCCCAAGAAAACGCGGCGGCGTTCGCCCGAGCTTGGGAGTTAGCCGTCAAACTTTTGACCGATGCCGTCGACGATATTACCACTATTGACGATTTCTTGGCTGTCAGCGGTGAGTATGCTTGTACTAACTATTTTATATATTTATTTTATTAGCATCTTCAATAGAGAATACACATTATATGCGTAAGTAGCTACTCTCGCGCGGCTCCATTTTATCGTATCGTGATGTTTTATAGCCTATAGCACACAGGAACATTGTAGCTGTCTATCAGTGCAATAATTTTGGCAATCCGACCAGCAGTTCCAAAGATTACTTCCTACATACAAACTTACAAATTTTATCTCTTTATAATATTAGTATAGATATAAAAATATAACTATTTTAGAAGTCGTGAGGCTACATAATAACGTTGTAATATGAATAATACGGGAGTTTCCAACTAGTCAAATTCAATACTTTAATTCAAACGTCAAAAATGATACTTTTCTATGAAATTTGTATGAAAAACTGCGTTATGACGTCATAGTTTTTTTTTGCGTCAAATAGTTCACTTATTTCTTAATAATTAGCTAAAAAATATCTAAAATTCAGTGTATCGATCGATCGATGAATAAAAGTTAAGTTATTTTTCAATATTTTATTGTATTGATGTATGTCGAATTAATTTATTTTTGACCTAAGAAACTACTCAATTATGACAATCGGGTAAAGTCATCATTTGACTTGCCTTGCATAGAGGGACGCAAGAGGGAATGTAATACTCTTACTGACTAACCCTCCCTACCCTCCGTTCCTTTGTCTTCTTCAAGCCTTTTGCATATTTCCTGCAATCCTGCTTTTTTGTGAGAGGAATATCATCCATTGACGTCTATCTGCGCTTAAGGAAGACCTTAACTGGCGAAAAAGATTTGCTGTGTTTTCATTGTCAGGGAAAAATCATCTAATGACTTCTCCCGCCTAGGGTGAGGCGAGAGGGAGTGTCAGACTCTTTCTGACTAAAACCCCCCTGTTCCTTCTCCTGCTCTGGGCCGAGGTCGCGGTGCCTCATTGCGCTTACCCCGCAACCCCGGCTGAACATCAGCCCTTTAGGGTCCCGTCTGTGGTGGTCTATTGGCTCTATAAGGCGAGCGACGAGACGAGCACGCATATAGAATAACTTCCATGGTAGATTAAGTTATTAAATATAGGAAAGTTTATGTAATTTTATTTTATAATTAGTATTAGTATGTAAGGTTTCTTTGTATTGTTTTTGATTTTATGTATTTCTTTATAATGTTGCTACACTATTGTATTAGGAAACTCCTGTGATAATAGTTGTATGTTGGAGATTAATAAATAAATAAATAAATAAATGTTTGTGATGACGATAATGATGATCATCTGAATTTGTTTCGCAGAAAACCATATCCTGGAAGACGTGAACAAGTGCGTAGTGGCGCTGCAGGAAGGCGATCCGGACTCCTTGGAAAGGACAGCCGGCGCTATACGTGGAAGGGCCTCCAGGTAAAATGAACTCTTTATTATAATTCATCATCAGCCTGTTGTCGTCCACTGCTGGACATAGGCCTCCGCAATTGCACGCCACTGAGCTCGATGTTCAGCTCTTCTCATCCAACCACTGCCAGCCACCCTGCGGATGTCGTCAGTCCACCTAGCTGGAGGGCGGCCTACACTACGTTTGCCTAGACGTGGTCTCCACTCTAGAACACGTTTACCTCAGCGGTCATCGGTTCTTCGACAGATGTGACCTGCCCACTGCCACTCCACTTTATTATAATTATTAGTGTATATTTGGGTACACAATGCAGCTAAATGAAAGACCAATAACTGTATTCACAAAAATGATGTTAACAGTCACAGATATCGAGAGAGTGAGTTGCAAAGCTTTGACAATTTGAACTCGCTGAGCGACGCTTGATTATAATTATGGCAATTATACGTAGATTTGCTGTCTGTCATTGTAATGGTGTTAGGCGCCGTAACGATTAAATTCGGTAATATTGTAACAATGTCACAAAGAAAATAGATACATTTTTGCCAATTTTATTTGAGATTACTAGTAAATAGATGTCATCATCATCATCAGCCTATAAGTGCCCACTGCTGAGCAAAGGCCTCTTCTCACACTGAGAAAGTTTGAACATTAATCACCACGCTTGTTCAAGGCGGATTGGCGATTTCAAACTTATAATTAGAAATTATAAGCCCAGGTTTCCTCACGATGTTTACCTTCACCGTATGTCAGTGGTGTCTAAATAATCAGAGAAAGTACATATAACTCGGAAAAGTCACATTGGTACTTGCCAGGTTTCGAACCCATACCCTCATGCATGAGAAGCGGGCTCCATAACCTCCGGCCCACCACGACTTGATTGTATGTATCGCAAATGTATTTTTATTTATTTCTTTCAAAGCATTAATTCTAAATATGTTGTCCCCAGGGTTTGTTCAGTGGTGACACAGGAGATGGATAACTATGAGCCGTGTATCTATACCAAGCGGGTCTTGGAAGCCGTCACCGTCCTCAGGGATCAAGGTAGGAATATTTTTTTTTTTCTTATAAAAACTTTGCCCCACATTAGGAATTTCTCCTGTGTCGTGGGTGCGTTTACAAACATACAATTTCACATACACATCACACCCAGACCCGCAACAACAATTTGTGGATCACACAAAGAGTTGTTCCGTGCGGGAATCGAACCTGCGACACGTTGCACGGCAGCCAGTTGCCCAGCCACCGCACCAACCGTGCAGTCAAATCCCATCCAAAAAAGTCAAAGAATATAATTATTATTCTTCCACATATTTATTAAAATTACAATCCAAATCCAAACTAATATTATAAATGCGAAACTCTATCTCTCTATCTATATGTCTGCTTGTCTGTATTTTCTTCACGCCTAAACTACTGAACCTATTTGTGTGAAATTTGGTACAGACATAGTTTAAAACTCGAGAAAGGAGAAAAATCTGCAGGAAGTCACTATTCCACGCGAACAAAGTCGCGGGCAAAAGCTGGTAGTATAATATTGAAAATGGATGGAATGGTCGCTAGTATTATTAGCTACTAGATTCCGCCCGCGGTTTGGCCGGCATGGTATGAAACAATGTATCTATTGTTATAACATTTTTTTTATGTAATTGGTCGGCAAACGAGCAGACGGATTACCTGATGGTAAGCAATCAGCGCTGCCCATGGACACCCGCAACGGAAGAGTTACGAGTGCGTTGCCGACCTTTTAGGGATTAGGGATTTGGAGATTTAGGGATTGGGGGCGGGGAAGGATTGGGCCTCCGGGTGTCCATTGGCGGCGCTGATTGCTTACCATTTTGTTCATGATTGCTCAAAAATTTAAATAAGTTATTTTGTCTTTAAATCAAACAATATTTTAATAACAGAATTTTTTATTTGTACTTATCACAGAAGAGATTTATACAAGGACAAAAAAAATGAGTATTTTATATTGTTATTATAACAAAGATATTATTAACTAGAAAGTAATAACATCCTTTAAATAATAAGAAAAAACTATTGAACTTCAAATCAATCAGAAGTCTTTCTATTCTCATCTGAGTAACCATGGAGTTTCTTGCTCGTTCTTCTCCATAGGAATCTACACTTTGGAACGAGTAAATAGCTTCACTAGAGGACAGACGGACAGACTGAAAGGCTTAAAGTTAAAGCTCTTGAAATACTTTATTCCTTTTTTTTGCTTGACGTTCAAAAGTGTCTACTGTGGTCTTATTGAAATAAATGATTTTGACTTTAACTTTGACATCCGGGGTTGCGGGGTAAGCGCAATGAGACACCGCGACCTCGGCCCAGAGCAGGAGAAGGACCAGGGGGGTTTTTAGTCAGTAAGAGTCTGTTCTACAATGTTCCTGAGTGCTATAGGCTATAAAACATCACGCTACGGTTAAATGGAGCAGCGGGTGAAACCGCGCGAGAGTAGCTAGTATAAGATATTTTTATTAGGATCGATAGTGAAATTTTGATAACACTGAAATGGAAATGTGGACTTATAACTTGTCCGTCTTGAGCTAACGTAGTGGTTAATGCTCAAATCTTCTGCGTGTGAGAAAAGGTCTTTGCTCCACAGTGGAACGTTTACAGCCGATCTTAATATAACTTTATCGGTCTTTTTCAATAGAATAGGGAAGATAGCACACGGATTACCTGATGGTAAGCAATCAGCGCCGCAACAACAGAGAAAAGAGAATTAGAAGCTTTTGGTCTTCTTGAGAAGTTTAATAGTGTTTTCTTTTTAAGTAAAGTAAGTTTAGTTCTTCTCTTCTGGTGGGGGGTGGGCCCTGATGTACTCCAAGGCTCGGAGAATAGCTTCTGGGATTGGGGGCGCGACCGGAAGGTGGGAACCCTGGAATTTAGAAAAAAAAGTTTAAATAGTTGAAACAATGAAACAATGAATTTATTTTTGCAAATAGGCCATAAAACGGCACTTTTACACGTCAATTTATATGTAAAAAACTAGATGAAGCCGGCATTTCCTATCTGACTACTCTGAGAAGAAATGCCGAAACAAACTGAGAGGTCAGTCTCTTTTCAAGTTGGCTTGCATGTTGTGTTTAGTCGTAAACGCAACGTAGGTTCGTACATGAAAGTGTAGATGGCGTTAAAATAAACTACGTCGCGTTTTGTTTCCCGCTTACCGCCATAGATGGAGTTGTACATTGAAGTCGATTTTCTACATCGCGGTGTTAAGATTCTCCGCTGGTTATATAAACCTAGGATTCTTTTATGGCATACGTCGGCAAACGAGCTGACGGATTACCTGATGGTAAGTAATCAGCGCCGTCCAAGGTCACTCGTAGTACTAAAGGAATCAATACGAATGCGTTGCCGGCGTCTTGCGGGATATTTAAGGATTTGAGAGGAATGGGAAGAAGGGTAGGCATTGGGCCTCCGGTAACCTCACTAACACGGCGAAATAAAATACAACGTAGGTGTTGTTTCACGCCGGTTTTCTGTGAGGCCGTGGTATCACTCCGGTCGAGCCGACCCATCGGTGCCGAAGCTTGGCTCTCTCACACTAAGACGTTGCCGGTCTTTTGGGGATTAGGGTTTCGGAGATTTAGGGATAGGGTTTAAGTTGGGGGTTTATATCTCTTGGTCTTTTTTACCTGTGGTTGGTATCCATTTTCGTCAGCTACATACTGGAAGCTAATCACCTCTCCTTCGGGGGATTTCCAGCTGGCTTGGCCCTGAGCTACTTGAGCCTTCGTCTCCTGTTGATCAGATAAACAACTATATTAACATTTTTGAAGACAGTAATGATGACCACAGGCGTCTGTTAATGTCAATTCTCATATATTAATATCCAAACTTATAGTATAAATGCGAAAGTTGCTCTGCCTGTCTGTCTTTTCTTCACGCCTAAACTACTGAACCTTGGTACAGACATAGTTTGGAACTCGAGAAAGGACATAGGATAGTTGTTTTTACCAAACATCTGCAGTAAGTCACTTTTCTACACGAACGAAGTCGGGGACAAAAGCCTTCGTGCCGAAGGCATATGCTTCGGCACGTAGGCTCTCCCACACTTGACTTGACACACAAAATTAACTAATCTCCTGTTTAATCTCTTGTCAAGTCATCTGATTGGTTGTTGATAATTCAGTCAACCAATCAGATGATTTTCTCCTGTGTCGTGGGTGCGTTTACAAACATACAATTTCACATGCACATCACACCCAGACCCGGAACAACAATTCGTGGATCACACAAAGAGTTGTTCCGTGCGGGAATCGAACCCGCGACACGTTGCACGGCAGCCAGTTGCCCAGCCACCGCGCCAACCGTGCAGTCACTTTAATTAATTTAATTAAACTTTATTTCGTCATTTGATTGGTTGACTGAATTATCAACAACCAATCAGATGACTTGACAAGAGATTTAACAGGATATTAGTTAATTTTAGCGTTGACAAGCCTTTCAGAAACTGGGTATTTAAATACTTACAGCGTCAATCTGCTTTAAGGAACCATCCTCGCTAGCTGATATACCGTTTTCGGTGTCATAAGCCCACTGGTATTGGCCTTCCACGCCGACGTTCAACTCTTGCCTTAGGATCTGAGCCGACTTGTCATTGTTGGCGACCACGTGCGATACGTCAGCAGCGGCTAAAGCCACGCAAACGGACAATATGAGGAATTTCTGTAAAAGAAATCATCAACAAAATCAGATTTACTACATAACTTAACTAGCTACTCTCGCGCTATTTCACCCGCTGCTCAGCTCCATTTGATCGTAGCGTGATGTTTTATAGCCTATATCACTCAGGAGCATTGTAGCTATCTATCAGTGAAAGAATTTTGGCAATCCGACCAGCGGTTCCAAAGATTACCCCCTACATACAAACTTAAAAATTTTACCTCTTTATAATATTAGTATAGATAGAAAGTCTAGCGACCCGTCCCGGCTTTGGACAAGTGCTATGCTGATACTAAATTACTCCACTATCTAATGGGTACACTATATTAGGTATACATATAAACCTACCTCCTAAAAACCGCATCAAAATCCGTTGCGTACTTTTAAAGATTTAAGCGTACATAGTAATATAGGGCTGATGTTCAGCCGGGGATGCGGGGTAAGCGCAATGAGGCACCGCGACCTCGGCCCAGAGCAGGAGAAGGAACAGGGGGGTTTTTAGTCAATAAGAGTCTGACACTCCCTCCCGCCCGGCCCTGGGCGAGAGAAGTCATTTGATGATATTCCCCTCACAAAAAAAAAAAAACAGGGATATAGGGACAGAGAAAGCGACTTTGTTTTATACTACAGAATTGTGTAGTGAAGTTAAAGACGGTATTTTGTTTTTCTCTTGGGTTTATAAGTTTGAAATCGCCAATCCACCTTGAGCAAGCATCAGCCTATAAGTGCCTACTGCTGGGCAGGAGGCCTTTGTTCACCAGTAGGCACTTACAGGCTGATGATGATAATCTGAATTCAACCACTAAATCTTTACAAAGAGGTAAATGGAACATTATTTTTCTTTTGCAATTATACACAAAATTTTCAATTAGGGTTGTCTTAAATTTATTGTAAAACTTTTATAGCCAATAACTGTTAGCATTACTTTTCAAATTTAATACTATGATATAATAATTAGGTAGGTACGCGAAAAAAAACCAAAAAATAACGAAAAAAAAACATTGTAAATAAAATTAGGAAGTATAGATTTTATGTTCGAATATACGCAAAGCGACTTTATCTTGTAAAGTATTTGTTTGTTTATTTGAAACGAACTCAAAAACTGCTTGACCAACACTGATGTAGGTTTCACTGGTGGATTTCTATAATTACCTACATTAAAATCTGATTTCAGATAAATCTTAGCTAAGTTAAATAATAGAGCTTGAGTATTTTTTTTAATAGAAACAATATTTTTTTAAGCTTATTCACAATTTACCACATTAAAGACCTTTTTCAAATGTGGAATTTAATTTAAAATACAAATTATAGTTTATCCAAATCCAAACTAATATTATAATAAAGACATAGTTCGGAACTCGAGAAAGGACATAGGATAGTTTTTAAACCAAAAATCTGCAGGAAGTCACTATTCCACGCGAACGGAGTCGCGGGCAAAAGCCATACTTTTATCATATTCAAGACTTTTTCAAAGATTGTAATTAAATTTTAAATACAAAATTAAAATAAATATTTCATTGCATTGTAAAGCCTATAATTTCTTTTAAATTTTCTATAAGTCTCAAGTTAATACCCTCCCTATATAATATGTATAGAATTTTTTAAATAAATATATACTTAGTCGGGTCATAAGTTCTGTCAAAACCTTATATTTTTAATTTTCGATTACTGGCCAGAAATTCTTCGACTTATTTTAAAAATAGAACTTTCGCGCTTGTAGAAAATAAAAAAGAAATTATTTTTTATTCATTTTTAAATATGGAGTGGTCGAATAAAGAAGACAGAATCGCGGTTATCGCGTTGCACCGCTGTGGTTACGCGCCAAAAGACATTTTCAATATTCTTCAAAATTTGAAAATAACGTTACGGTTTGTTTATCGTACTATCAAACGATACACCGAAGAGTCAAGCTTCGAAGATCGTAAGAGAAGCGGCCGACCTCGCACAGTTCGGACACATAAGGTCATCAAAGCAGTGAAGGCGCGAATCGAACGAAATCCCGTACGTAAACAAAAAATCCTAGCTCTGCAGATGGGGCTAAGCAGAACCACTGTTAAAAGAGTACTAAATGAAGACCTGGGACTACGAGCTTATCGTAAAAAGACAGGACATTTTTTGAACGAGCGTTTAAAAAAAATTAGGCTAGACAGATCCCGCGCTTTGCTACGACGGTACGCGGGAAAAAAATACCGCGAAATTCTTTTTTCGGATGAAAAAATTTTTACTATTGAAGAAAGTTTTAACAAAAAAAATGATAAGGTGTATGCCCACAGCAGTGAAGAAGCAAGCGCGCGTATTGCGAGGGTCCAGCGTGGGCATTACCCTTCCTCATTCATGGTTTGGCTTGGAGTCTCATATTCAGGCGTAACTGAGGTGTTTTTCTGTGAAAAAGGTGTGAGAACTAGTGCCGAAGTTTATCAAAATACTGTCCTAACAAACATAGTGGAACCTCTTTCTCAGACAATGTTCAGGAACAGGCATTGGATATTCCAACAGGACTCTGCACCGGCTCATAAGGCACGAAGTACGCAAGACTGGTTGATCGCTCGTGGAATTGACTTCATCCGGCATGAAGACTGGCCCTCTTCTAGTCCAGATTTAAACCCACTGGACTACAAGATATGGCAATATTTGGAGGAAAAAGTCTGTGCTAAACCTCACCCGAATTTGGAGTCTCTCCGAGCATCTCTGGTTAAAGCAGCGGCAGACATAGATATGAATGTGGTGCGTGCAGCGATCGATGACTGGCCGCGTAGATTAAGGGCATGTGTTCAAAATGGGGGAGGGCATTTCGAATAATGTAAATAAAATTATATTGTACATTTAATGACCTTTCATTTCATATATAATTTTTAAATAATTGTCAAAAGGCGTATAAGTTATTACATCAAAAGTTTGTGACAGAACTTATGACCCGACTAAGTATATGTAATTATGCACTCACCATTTTTTTGGCACTAGTAGACAGTCCAAGCGGTAACAAGTGACTGGCTAGTAGTGTATTCTGACACCAGTATATAAGAGGTTACCTTAGGTTGAGCTTACAAGGTCGTTCACACATCGAAAATTGGGTAGGCAGAGTTATAGGTGTAGTTGCGAGGATTTCTTTGACGGGGAAATTTTCATCTTATGGTATAAGTCGGCAAACGAGCTGACGGATTACCTGATAGTAAGTAACCAACGTCGCCCATGGACACCCGCAACACCGAAGAAATTACGAGTTCGTTGCCGGCCTTTTAGGGATATAGGTTTTGGATATGTAAGGATTGGCTAGAGATGGGGGGAGGGGGGGTGGGAGAATTGAGGCTCCGGTAACCTCACTCACACGGCGAAATACAACGCTGTGGTTGTTTCACGCCGGTTTTCTGTGAAGCCGTGGTATCACACCGGTCGAGCCGACGCATTCGTGCTGAAGCATGACTCTCCCACACTTAATTGCTGTTGTGAAGATGGGTGTTCCGCAGGGTTCTATTCTCGGCCCAGTTTTATTTCTTTGGTAAGGTTTCCCAACCAAATTTTCTAGCTCCCGTAGAGAATTTAGTCTCCGGTCGAGCCAATCCATTCGTGCCGAAGCATAGACTACCACACTTATTCAACCAATGAGTAGGTAGACGTCTCTTCCTGATTAACTAGGTAACTATCACGTTCCTTCTCCTGGTTTTAGGTCCTTATATTATAGTTTTGTAGTTTTCAATGTCAAAAATTAATTGTTTTTGATTCTTCAATACAATGAATTATTAAAATTTATCTCGCGCTTTAATTCATTGATTTGATAATATATCTAACTAGCTGCTGTCGCGTGGATTCACCCGCTGCTCGATTCCTCCATATCATAGCGTGATGTTTTATAGCCTATAGTCTTCCTCGATAAATGGACTAACAAAAACAAAAAAGAATTGTTCAATTTGAACCAGTAATTTCGGAGATTAGCGCGTTCAAACAAACAAACAAACTCTACAGCTTTATAATATTACCTATAGTACTTATAGATTATAGATTCTTCCAGTTAACTTTTTCAAAATAAGTATGTAGTTTGACGTACAAAAAATTGTCGTCATGCTTTGGGATCTCATAGAAAAGTATCGTTTTTGACATTTCGATAAAAGTATTGAATTTGACTAGTTGGAAAGTAGCGGATTGTATAGGTAGTCCTAGGTCAAAAATAAATTAATTCGACGTTTCAATACAATAAAATATTGAAAAATAACTACCTATACTTTTGTTCATCGATTGATCGATATACTAATTTTTAGATTTTTTTTAGCTAATTATTAAGAAATAAGTAAGCTATTTGACGCAAAAAAGTTATGACGTCATAGTTCAATTTTTCATACAGATTTCATAGAAAATTATCGTTTTTGACGTTTGGATAAAAGTATTGAATTTGACTAGTTGTAAACTAACGTATTATACAGGTAGTCCTAGGTCAAAAATTAATTATTTTGATTCAATACATTTAATTAATTAAAAATACTAGTGATGTGCGATGCCCTGGCGTCGCACGGATGTAGGGTAAATACTAAATTTCTCCACTATTTAATGGATGTTATTATACATATAAACCTTCCTCTTCAATCACTCTATCTATCGAAAAAACCGCATCAAAATCCGTTGCCTAGTTTTAAAGGTTTAAGCATACATAAGAATACAGGTTGGTTTGACTGCACGGTTGGTGCGTGGCTGGGCAACTGGCTGCCGTGCAACGTGTCGCGGGTACGATTCCCGCACGAAACAACTCTTTGTGTGATCCACAAATTGTTGTTTCGGGTCTGGGTGTCATGTGTATGTGAAATTGTATGTTTGTAAACGCACCCACGATAAAGGAGATAATCCTAATGTGGGGCAAAGTTTATTTAAAAGAAAAAAAACAGGACCAGTGGAAACTAACTAATAATACAAATAACTCAAACATTTATTAATCGATTTAACGATAAACAGTGTTTTCGCGTTTATAAAATTAGTAGGACTTTAAAAATACAAGGTTCCGAAACGCATAATAAAATGGGTCATCGATAACCGATCAATAAACGGACCTTGGCCACTGTTGCTCAACCATAAAACTTATTTTGTGCATGTACATTATAATGACATCATGTTATAACCAGCTCATCGGGTTATTAATCATACAGTACTATCCTTTCTAGGGCTGTCGGTTAAAATGTTTGTATACATTTCATTATTGAATTACGCTATTACTTTGAAGTTATTTGACAGGCCAAATCCTTACTCTCCCACTGTTAAGCGCAATAAGGCACCGCAACCTCGGCCCAGAGCAGGAGAAGGAACAGGGGGCTTTTTAGTCAGTAAGAGTCTGACACTCCCTCCCGCCCGGCTCTGGGTGGGAGAAGTCATTCGATGATTTTCCCCTCACAAAAAAAAACCCTCCCACTGTTGAGCGTAAATCCGACAAATAAATAGTAGAAACTTGTATGGTAAAATATGGTATATTAGTTAAAATGGTAGTGGTTAATGGTATGAGCAAACGCGGCTTGGTTGGTGACCGAACGTTAACTAACTTTACAATAATGTTAATATTAACACGAAATGTTGGCGCGCGCGGTTGACATCAATAAACTACTTTGTACACACCCAATCCTTAATTCTTTAAATCCGTAATCCCCAAAAGGTCGGCAACGCACCTGTAACTCCTGTGTTGTTGTGGGTGTCCATCGGCGGCGCTGATTGCTTACTATCAGGTAATCCGTCTGACCTTTTGCCGACATTTATATTACACCAGCTTTTGCCCGCTACTCCGTCCGCGTGGAATAGTGACTTCCTGCAGATTTTTAGTATAAAAACTACCCTGTGTCCTTTCTCAAGTTCCAAACTATGTATGTCTGCACTAAATTTCACAGAAATCGGTTCAGTAGTTTAGGCGTGAAGAAGAGACAGAAAGATAGACAAGAGAGTTACTTTCGCATTTATAATATTAGTTTGGATAAAACTAAAAGTATAGGGACAGAGAAAGCGACTTTGTTTTATACTAATTACAAAGTGATTTAACCATAGACTGGTAAAGTATCAACCCTATACATGGAGTCGTTTAAACACAAAGCGATGAACTTTCGCGACCGTCTGCCGACCTACTTTATCTTAAAGTTTTGTAAAGCTTCAATGGTAAAGGGCTTTCACTCGATTCTTTACTTGTATGGAGCGACGAGACACTGGCACGGACGTAATCTATACATATAATAATACTAGCTGTTGCCCGCGACTCCGTTCGCGTGGAATAGTGATGCTGTAGATTTTTGGTATAAAATATATTCTTAGCAAAAATTTCTTCGATAGTCTTTGTTTTTTTTGTAATTAATATTCAATAAAAGTTTTGTTTTTTTGTCTACTTCCTATATTATATACCTATGTATGTCTCCTTTTATATCTGTGAAAACTTATAATTGGCCTTATTAATGTTATATACAACCGAACTATACTGTACCTTATTAGCTGTGAGTTTTCCTAAAACTTGTAAAATAAAATAAAATAAATAAAACTATCATTTGTCCTTTCTCGAGTTCCAAACTATGTCTGTACCAAATTTCACAGAAATCGGTTCAGTAGTTTAGGCGTGAAGAAAAGACAGACAGACATAGCCACTTTCGCATTTATAATACTATGTTTTAAATTATAAAGTTGAAAAGTTTTTTTTAGTTTGAACGCGTTTATCTTTATTTTTTATGGGATACCTAAGTCGGCAAACGAGCAGACGGATTACTTGGTGGTAAGCCATCAGTGCCGCCCATGGACACCCGCAACACCAAAGTAGTTACGAGTACGTTGGTGGTCTTTTGGCGATGAATGGATCAGGGAGGGAAAGAATTGGACCTCCGGTACCTCACTCACATTTTTTTTTAAGATTTTGCCCGCGACTCCTTTCTCGTGGAATGGTGACTTCTTGTAGATTTTTGGTATAAAAAGTATCCTATGTCCTTTCTCGAGTTTCAAACTGTGCCTGTATCAAATTTCACAGTAGTCGGTTCTGTAGTTTATGCGTGACAGTGACAGACAGACAGAGCTATTTTAGCATTTATAATATTATGAAACAATGAATTTATTTAGTTTTAGTTTTGTATTAATACTTAGAATTCGATTGCGCAAAAAAATAAAAAATAAAAATGCATTTTTGACCTTCAATATCTCGAGAACCCGTGGAGTCCCAGCTATGGTCTTAAAGAAAAAAAAAAAGATCCAAATAATGGGTAGAATACGTGGCTTTCGGCTTCGTTAAGTGTCTTTTTACACCCTGTATAAATAGTATCAGTATTGCACCCGTTTTTTTTTTTGTGAGGAGAAAATCATCAAATGACTACTCCCGCCCACAGCCGGGCGGGAGGGAGTGTCAGACTCTTACTGACTAAAAATCCCCCTGTTCCTTCTCCTGCTCTGGACCGCGGTCGCGGTGCCTCGTTGCGCTTACCCCGCAACCCCGCCCGTACGAAGTAAGTCGAGACGAGTCGCTAGTAAAAAATTCAATGTACACCCACTTAGAAGTACTCTAAGCTTCGGTACATATACCTACATAAAGTTCAAACATTTCATTTCATTATTGGATTGGATATTCATTATTGGATTTTTTTTTTTTTTTTTTTTTTTTATTGATTATAGGCTCGCGCTTGACCGCTAGATCACCTGATGGAAAGCGACGATGCGGTCGAAGATGGAGCGCGCTTACCTAGAAGTAACCTATTCACTCTTGACTTAAAGATACCCGGATTGTAGCTATCAGGAAACACCGACTCCGGCAAGGAATTCCACTCCTTGGCTGTACGCATGATGAATGTGCTCCCAAAACGTTTTGTACGTATATGTGGGACATCCACCATGTACCGGTGGCGCAATGCCGTACGTCTGGTGGTCCGATGATGGAACGGGCTAGGCGGAATTAAATTATGTAATTCCAACGCACATTCCCCGAAATGCAACCGGTAGAAAACCGACAGGCTAGCAACTCGGCGTCGATGCTCAAGACTTTGAAGTCTCGACTCGACAAGTGCATCATCGCCAATGATCCTCTTGGCTCGCCTCTCAATAGATTCAAGCGCATCAAGTTGCAAACAAAACCTTTCGCAAAGGTCATACGTCTAATGAAAAACCAGTTTTG